ACTAGATAACTTATGGATGGTGCAGTTAAGTTAGCTCGACAATTTTAATGCTTAAGTTAAAGTACATCTCTGATGTATAAACTGTACTAGATAACTTATGGATGGTGCAGTTAAGTTAGCTCGACAATTTTAATGCTTAAGTTAAAGTACATCTCTGATGTATAAACTGTACTAGATAACCTAGTAGGTAATGCAGTTATCTTCACTATAGCTAAACTTCTGAATGAAGTTGATCAATCATCACTTATGTAAAAAATAAATATGTGATAACTTTTGTAGTCACAACTACAATTTTTGAAACTAAGGAAAGGGTTTAAATATTTTACGGTTTTACCCATATCTGGTATACTACACGCTAATAACTGTGTTTCAGTGTTATGGATTTAGAAAAAAAAAAAAAAGCTTAATATAAAGAAAAAATCTTTATATAATTAACAAGATCTCGTTAAAATAATTTAGTAAAATAGGCTTAACTAGCCTAACTAACCTTAAGCCTAATTTGCACGCACTTAAGTGTTGTCATGTTCTCTTGTTTTAAGTTTGTGTGTAATTTCTATACACAACACATGACTAACCACGAAGCCTCAGGGTTTAGTTGTTACATGTAAGTGTTTTTGAACACTGAGCAAAGCAAGTGGCCTCAAGGAAGATAATTAAAAGGAATTACTGTGCTGAAGGTTTAATGTTATGTTAGTGTACAGTTTAAAATTGGCAATATCTTTAGCCTGTTAAGGACATCGTAAGTTACATTAATATTAATTAATGACTTTAAAGAAACGTATGTGATAGATTACTGTAATAATGTTTTATAAAATCAAGACTCTTTAAGAAAGGTGATCCCAGAAGAGAAGTGAATAAAAGCTGTTGTGAAAATAGTGAACAGTGTATTTGCAAAAAAAGCATTATAAGTCCTCAACTTACGAAGCTGATATCAATTTATTTATAAGTAAGAATACCGAAATATAAGATCAAGAAATTACAACAATTTCTTAATGACTAAACACTCATATGCTCTAAATTTTGCACCTGCACGTATATTATTAATTTTCTAAGCTACACAGTTTAAAATGATTTTAGATAATAATGAAACTAGTAAATATTGCTCTCGTTAACAATCATATGCACTCTTGGTTTACTTTATGGATCTAAGGTGAGCCTCAATAGCCTATTCTGGCCGTAGCTTTTGTAGAAATATGATTGGGATTACGGCCCAAAAAAATGTTAACAGCGAAGATAACACACTAACTATTCTAAACAATTTTGGTTTTAGTTTTCTGATGTACTGAAATCTGGTATTTCTAGGCAGTTCGTTCATTACTTTATAAAATAGCTAATTGTTTCACGTTCTAGATGATTTGTTGATCAAGATTAGAGATAGTTTGGTTTGGGTATTATTAAGCACAAAGCTACACAATGGGTTATCTGTGCTCTACCCACCACGGGTAAGGAAACCCGATATTTAGAGCATTATACCTGTAGATTTACCGCTGAGCCACTGGGGGCTAGTGATACTATTATATTCGACATTTGAAGATCATGGGTTTATCTATAGGTCTCCCAGTAGCTCAGATGTAAGTTTGAAGGCTCACACCGCTAAAAATCAGGTTTCGATACTAGCGATGGACACAGCACAGAGAGCCAATTATATAGCTTTGCGCTTAACAACAAACAGCCAACCCCATCCTCCCCAATAGCTCAGTGGACTTATAATGCTAAAAATCGGGTTACGATACTCGTGGTGGGCAGAGCACAGATAGCCCATTGTATATCTTTGTGTTTAACTACATCCAAACCAAACCAAAACAAAACAAATTTTCTCTATAGGATGCATCTTCTAGCCATTTCATTTAGATTTTTAAAGTTTAATCAGTATTTAATGTTAATTAAAATGGTGTACTAAATAATTATAATTAGAAAACATTTTTTTATTATTATAAATACATTTTACTCAATAAATGTACGAAAAGGTGGATAATTGAATGTGTTTGTATGTGTGGGTGTGTGCGCGCGCGCGAATCTGCACATTGTTTATGTAATAGCGATATCACATTTCTTATTGCAGAATGTTATGCGTGTTCAGAGGTGTATCGTGTTTTGGTTCTTTGTTTACAAGAAAAAAATGCATGGCCAGAATACGTGAAAAAGTCCAGTATGGTACATTTAATACTACTACTAATAATAATGAAAGTGTTATCGGCACAAAGCCGTCCCTAATTTGAAACTGATAGGCTAGAGGGAAGAAAGGTAGTCAATAGCGCTCAGTTTAACTATCACTTTTAATAACGCGCACACAGCTCTAAAGTGAACAGAACGATTTTGTGGTAACGGGACGCGAATAATAAATCCCGAGACTCACGTTAATCTCTAGACCAAGCTAGGCCTGTGAAATTACAAAGAAATGGTTAAAACTGCTGTGAGAACAAAATATTAAGCGGTCAAAATTTCGGCCAAACAATCTCTATGTCCCGATTTAGGCTGTTTGGGCGAAACGTTGGCTCCTTAATTAATTCGTTTTCTCTTAGAGTGATTGTAACCATGTCTTTGTATTTTTATACTATAATACATTGTTTCATGTATACGCAAGGCTCGGTTGTTAATTCTGTAACTGCGAATAAGGAGTACAATATATAAATAAATATGTGTCGAATGAGTGTGTAGTTTCGGAATGACTTTGTCTACCTTTGTGAAACTTGCGTAAAATGAAATATATTCTATAACTGAAAAAAAACAAAGCATTATCCCCATCACGTAACAGAGAGTATCATGTATGCTCTGCTTTAATGGTACTAATCCTGCAAAGGCATTTCTGACGATCGCCCGTGTATTAGTTTAACGTTTCGGTACAACACTTTTATCCAATGTTCACGATGTCTAATCACACAACTATATGTGAGTTTAAATGTTTGATTGCCACTACTTTAAGTAAAATATGCAGTCCTGGAGAGGCACGTGACCAGATAATGATTCTTTGATAAAGAAGTACTGACGTATCGAAACATTGGAGCTAAAATTATTTTCACAAAACGACTTTGAAATTTGATTTTGACCTTCCTATGTTTACTGTAACTCTTGCATTAAGATTGCTATATTGATTTTTTTTTACCTAGTATACGATATATGAACAAAACATATAAAGCGTGATAATACGATTTGTTTTAAGTACAATGTATAGAGCTTTGAAAAACCAAACAAATTTGGGTTATTAAAGTAATGCTAGTTTTGTTTTGTTCTAGAAAGAGCACGTTATCGTACAGCGTATGCTTGCGAAGGAAATAATTTGAAGATCTCCTGTGAGAATGAGCAGTTAATCAAGGTACTACGTGCTAATTACGGTCGTTTCAGCATTAGCATCTGCAACGATCAGGGGATTTTAGACTGGAGTGTGAAATGTGCAGCGGAGAAGTCGTACTTTGTGATTCATGAGAGGTAAGGGGCTTGTAATATTAAATAAATATTTCTCTCTATATATATATATCTATCTATCTATATGTATGTATATTGTGTGTGTGTGTGCAATAAGATAAACAAACGAATTAATAAATGAAAACCCACATACAAGAAAGCATAAATATCAGTTGCCTATCTTCAAGAGTACTATTCAGTTTCAAAAAACATACACTATTTTATAAGGCCTACGTTAGAATGACAAACTTTTTACGTTTTTTTTATTATTATTTTACCTTAAAGCTTTATGCATGTTTGTTCTCCCGTGGGTAAGTGGTAAGTCTATAGACTTACAGCGCAAAAATCCAGGACTCAATTTCCCCACAGATAGCCCATTGCGTAGCTTTGCACTAAGAAAACATCAACTATAATACACGTATATATGATTTAAACTCTCTCTGTGTATTAAACTATGCAACATGTAGCGTGTTTTGTTTACATTTATTAATAAAATAATCCCTTATCTTTTTTATCGCAAGAATACTAAGATATAAGTATTTGCAGAAAAAAGTTCTTGTTGTAAAGTGTGAAAAGTTTGCATACTACACTTATTAATGTATTTGTTAACAGATAAATGTTTATCTTAAAATACGATTATTAATGTTGTTCACGTTTATCCTGAAATACGATTATTAATGTTGTTCATGTTTATCCTGAAATACGATTATTAATGTTGTTCACGTTTATCCTGAAATACGATTATTAATATTGTTCACGTTTATCCTGAAATCTGCTTATGATCGTCTATTGGTCTTTCTTTAAAACTCTAGAAAAATCAAAAATTAAAAGTTTATCCTAATCTATCAATCTATCATTCCATCCATATACAAAAAATAAACTCTAGATTGAGTTGTAATTCATATTATATTTGTTTTAAACATATATATATGTTGAAGAAACAAGAAACTTACGCTTCAGTATAGTAATTGGTTATTATCTGTTAACAAATACATTAATAAGTGTATTATCTGTTAACAAATACATTAATAAGTGTAGAACAACATTAATAATCGTATTTCAGGATAAACATGAACAACATTAATAATCGTATTTCAGGATAAACACGAACAACATTAATAATCGTATTTCAGGATAAACGTGAACAACATTAATAATCGTATTTCAGGATAAACGTGAACAACATTAATAATCGTATTTCAAGATAAACACGAACAACATTAATAATCGTATTTCAGGATAAACATGAACAACATTAATAATCGTATTTCAGGATAAACGTGAACAACATTAATAATCGTATTTCAGGATAAACATGAACAACATTAATAATCGTATTTCCGTTTTGTATTTTTTAACGATATTATTGGACAATAATTAGATATGTCTAGTGATGTTCGTTTCTATTTTGAGTTTATAATTTTGTTTCAGGACCAATTCGCCGTTTGTCTCGTCTCTGTGTCCTCCTTCAAGCTTGAAAACAAATAATGAATCAAGCTGTTTCGAAGACAAATAGTGCTATAACTTACATAAAAACATTGTATCGAAATAAATCGAAATAAAATAAAACATGTTAACAGAAGTATGTTTCCACACAATAATTCACAATTAATAATCATTTTGGACGTTTATTATTATATTTGTTCATCTTTTATTTTACAATAACATCTAATTCCAAAACACGCACTTATTCTATTTGTGTGTGTGTGTGAGTTTGAGCTAGTTTTTGTTATGAAAAACAATTTTTTAATTCGAAATTTTAAAGATTACTGATAAAGAAACTCATTATGTCAGCTAAGTACTGACTCCGTAATGAAATCCGTCTTATCCTTTCAGATGTAATCTCGTTCCCAGCTGTATAGTCAACGTCACAAGTCACACGTTCGGTGAACCCTGCCCGGGAACTTATAAATATTTAGAAGTGCAATACCAGTGTATGCTAGGTTGGTTTTTGGTTTTTTAGTGTTCCTTATTTTGCTTTTTATTTTGGGTTTGATTTTAAGATTCAAAACTCTTAAAACCAAATTTTAAAAACAGATTTTTTTTCTGGTACTTTTGCCGAGAACTTACATATTTTGTTTCGAGACTTGTATTTAGTGACTTTGTTTCATGTTTCAACGTTCGTTTGCATCAAGATTGAAAGAACAATATTCAATCTGAGTTTTAGAACCTTGTTTTTTTTGTGTGTTTTTTTTTTCGTTTTCGAAACACGATGGATATTCGCATGAAATTTTTTTTTACACAACAAAGGCTGCCATTAATATAATAAAATGACACATTATATATGAATACTAGTATCATATCCCAACGTTGATGTACTTCTCATATGGGGCGAGGAGACATGCCCCTCTGACTTTTACATTAACGACAGAGTGTTCCCCCTCACATTTCATCTGCAATAATATTGAATCGTAAGATGTATTATTGCAGAACATATATAGCAACTATCACAGCCACCCTCTCCCTTTTGAAAACGAAGATGTACCCGAGTATCCAAATACACAGTTTCTATCTCACCATTTCTTCAGGGCCCGGCATGGCCAGGTGGCTACGGCGCTCGACTCGCAATCTGAGGGTCGCAAGTTCGAATCCCCGTCACACCAAACATGCTCGCCCTTTCAGCCGTGGGGGTGTTATAATGTGACGATCAATCCCACTATTCATTGGTAAAAGAGTAGCTCAAGAGTTGGCAGTGGGTGGTGATGACTAGCTGCCTTCCCTCTAGTCTTACACTGCTAAATTAGGAACGGCTAGCGCAGATAGCCATCGTGTAGCTTTGCGCGAAATTCAAAAACAGAAACAACCAAACCATTTCTTCAGAATTTCTACTTCTTATTTACCACTATACACAGTAGCCAATGAACCCAAACTTTACGATCGAAAGGCTGTAACTCAGTTGTCTCTTATATAATGTTCCACTGATATTCAATAAACTGAAGGACCATCTCGTTACTATAATAGTAACTACATGCAGCTCTTAACTTGTTCGATTATAAAACAAAACAAAAATACGACATTAAATCCAAATACACAATGTTTCATTGTGCCGGTAGTAATGTTTTACCATATGTTTAGGAACTCCGTTTTGCCGCAGGTAATAACATTTAACATGATTAGAACAGTAAACATAAACGTGTTCCGTAAAACATTTGGTTTAATTGGAGTCACGTTTGAATAATTTGAATGACATGATAGGCTTGTATTAGTTTTGTCTTTGCTTTGAATTTCTTTGTGTATATTTCTAACATAATTATTTTGTGACTATTGTTAAATATTTTGAAGTCATTTATATTATTTGAAGCTGTGCCCAGAAAAAAAAAGGCTGCATTGTCCGAACGTCCAGTCGGATATTTGATGACCCTTATTCAGGAACCGTGAACTACCTAGAAGCTCATTATCTTTGTGTTTCAGGTAGTCAACTACAAATTATGCAAAAAACAACAACAAGAAACAAACCTTGTTTCCGTACTCTTTGTAGGATGCTTATTATTAAGTATTGTTACTGCACGAAGCGTGAATAAATGTAAACGTAGTATTTTCGTTTTGTCAATCTGCATTTAAAATGACAAGCAAACAAATGTAGGTAATACACTAACTTGACATAACATAGGCTTGTGTTCTGTTTTACAGGATGTTGTGAGTAAATCATTGTTCAGGCACACCTAGGAAACGGTAGATCCTTTTACAAATATTACACGGAATTAACAACGCTTAAACGTTTCTGAATATATTTCAAATTTATATGTTTTGATACTTTTTGTTGTTGTTTTTCGTCAACACTAAGGTTCTATCTTCAACACGTAATAGTTATGTCGGTATTTCTGGTTTTAAACTTGTAAGTTCTCTAGGAATGCCAAAAGAGTGTTTATATATGAAAAGAAATATATTTGTGTGTTCTCTAGGAATGCCTAAACAGTATTTATAAATGAAAAGAAGCATATTTGTGTGTTCTCTAGGAATGCCTAAACAGTGTTTCTATATGAAAAGAAACCTATTTGTGTGTTCTCTAGGAATACCTAAACAGTGTTTACTATATGAAAAGAAACCTATTTGTGTGTTCTCTAGGAATACCTAAACAATGTTTATATATGATAAGAAACCTATTTGTGTGTTCTTTAGGAATGCTCAAAGAGTGTTTTGTATATTTAAAAAAAACATATCTGTTTGATCTCTAGAGATATCTAAATAATAGTGATGTTGGGTTTTTAATGAGATATAACTTTAAGGATGTTTCAACAATGTCTTCAACGAATTATTTTAACATGCTTTTTTCTGTTTTATGTTTGTTTACATCCTTTAGTGGTTACTAAACAGTTTTATATCCTCAACACATTGCTTTTTATAATATCGTTTAGAGTTTTAAGAGTTATAGGTTTTCTAGGGGGTCTGAATAAGGTTCTACTTCAACGCATTATTTTTATGGTAAAATCTGGGCTTTTAGATTCTCATATGCCCCCCAGTGGCACAGCGGCATGTCTGCGGACTTACAACGCTAGAATCCGGGTTTCGATACCCGTGGTGGGCAGAGCACAGATAGCCCATTGTGTAGCTTTGTGCTTAATTACAAACAAAAGATTCTCATACATACACATTTTTTCTATACTTATTATTATATTAATAAATACTTGGAATATTTCATCCCATTGAGATGAAGCAGTAGTGGAAGTTGTTTACAACATTTGTTTGTCGATTAAAGATCGAGTACAATCACAAGATGTAATGTCATTTTGTGTTGCTTGTTTGTCGATTAAAGATCGAGTACAATCACAAGATGTAATGTCATTTTGTGTTGCTTGTTTGTCGATTAAAGATCGAGTACAATCACAAGATGTAATGTCATTTTGTGTTGCTTGTTTGTCGATTAAAGATCGAGTACAATCACAAGATGTAATGTCATTTTGTGTTGCTTGTTTGTCGATTAAAGATCGAGTACAATCACAAGATGTAATGTCATTTTGTGTTGCTTGTTTGTCGAATTAAAGATCGAGTACAATCAACAAGATAGTAATGTCTATTTTGTGTTGCTTTGTTTGTC